GGGAATGTTCCCCTGGAGAAGGGAAGGGTCCAGGGAGAGCTCAGAGCCCCTTTTGGGGCCTGAAGGGGCTCCAGGAGAGCTGGAGAGGGACTGGGACCAAGGGATGGAGGGACAGGACACAGGGAATGGGGTCACACTGGGAAATGAAGGATTTAGGTGGGATYTGGGAATTGGGAATTGCTGGCTGARATGGAATTGCACCCCTGGATCCCTTTGAGTGCMCAAGGCCAGGCTGGACATTGGGGACACTGGGACGGTGGGAGGTGTCCCTGGGTTGGAATGGGATGAACTTTAAAGTCCCTTTACACCCAAACCATTCCAGGATTCTGTGATTCCCAAAACAMAAACTCCATCAGAAATAACAATCCRYCTCTTTTTTAGAGTAATATACCAGAGAAATTTTGTTTCCCTTTCCATTCCATTTCCAGATGAAAATCCACCTTCAGAGACCTCAACAAAAAAAAAAAAAAATTCCCTCTCAAAATTGCCACCCCGTGATCCTTGAAGCCAAATCCCCTCTGCCCCTCTCCACATCAGCTCTCCCTCTTTGCATCCCTATCAGAAGATGAACTAATTAAGCCGAAGCTGTTGATGACTCTTGAACCTTTAATTACATCTTCTCCTCTCCTAAACACAGAGCAGGTCTTGCCTGTGCTGATCCAGGCCACGCTAATTCCAGCTGCCCTCCAAGAAATGGAGAAAGGTTATGGATCAGATCGGAATATCAACGGAACAATCTGATTTATTCCTTAATTAAACCCGCTCTGAGATTTTAGGGAGGGTGATCCTAATAACCTAAAAAAATAAAAAAATCTCATTTCATGTGGCGCATTTTAGCAGATGAAGCCACAGATTTTCGGGARGGCAATCCTCAGCATTTCCATGCTGGAATTTAAATCCAAAGTCCTCTCTCCCTTTTTTAATTAAAMCATTTCCAAACTCCAGTTTACACTCCAGCCCAAGCAAAGCCCCAGATTTGCTAAACCGGGTCCAGAGCTGTGAAATCCCAAATAATCTCGTTATGTTGAGGACACCAATAACTCGGCTCCGTGATTTAATTCCCAGCTCTGCGAGGTGCCGGCCTCCACATTTCTCCGGAAAACACGGAGCTGCTGGAGCAATATAAAGCTGTCAAGTTCAATAAAAAGCCCCAAATGAAGGTGCTCTCAAATCATTAACTGGAAATTATTTATGAAAGTCGCAGTTACTTTCTGCTCTGAACACCAAATTACCAGGCGGTTTTCACCTCTGTCTTTTTCTTGTTATTGCTTGGGATTTTCCAAAATTATTTTTTTCCCCCTTTTTCTTTTCTTTTTATTTTTTTCCCCTCAAACACCATCCTACACTTTCAGCCACAGACAATGGGATTTGCCTCCYTTTTTCTCTCCAAAATGCGTTCAGGATAAATTCATCTCAGCTTATCTGACAGAACCAGGCTGCCTGCGGGGCTGGGAGTGGGAGCAGGAAGATTTTGGAAAAGGTTTGATTTCCCTTTTTACCACCTCATCTTTTAAGCGAGGAATCGTGAAACAAAACTTCATATTTAAAGGTAAAAGAGGCAGAAAAAAATGAGTCAAAAACCCATGGGGAGTTGTCAGAGAGTCTGAAATCCTGGGATTTTTAAGGTTGGAAAAGCCCTCTAAGATCATCAAATCCATTGCCATGTTCTCCCTAAATCCCCTCGTGCCACACCCACACGTTTTGGAAACACTTCCAGGGATGGAGACTCCACTCCCTTCCTGGGCACTCTGCTCCCCTTCCATAAAGAAATCTTCCCTAAAATTTAATCTACATGAAGATATTTAAGGCTGCAATTTGGGCTGTGACTTCCGTGTAGGATCGCGGCGTTGGATTGGGATGGATGAGGAAATAGGAGGCGGATCAGAGGTTCGGGCTCACAAATCACTTTAAAGGACCTCCTACAGATAATAATTTAATAATTTTTATSTWTACARAATTAATTGATAATCTATAACTTAWGAATTAATCATTTATTTTTTAATCCTGTATATTGCAACTTAATTTTTATTTTTACAAAAATTAAAACACATTTTATGCCAGAAAATCTTTTAAAAGCATCCAGGAGCATTTGGATGGAGCATCATTATCCGGATGCCATCCCCAGCCCCCACCCCACAAACCCAGCAAGAAGATCCCATAAAAAAAAACCTAAATATGGAAAAGTCCCATTTTCCCGGCCTACCTGGGTAAAGAAGGGCTCGTAGATCTCCACTCCCTTGTCGGAGCCCTGCAGCAGCACCTCCTGGCCGCGGCGCCAGCTGTAGCGCACGGGCGGGTTGGAGTTGGCCACGCACCTGAGGAACACCGTCTTCTCATAGTAAAACTGCTCCTTGGCTTCCCCGATGCTCTGGTGGATGGTGACGATGGGATCGTCCAAATCTGGCAAAAGGAAAAGCYGGGGTTAAGCCAGGTTAAGCCAGGTTTAAGTTGACTCCGCAACAACGTGGCGACGGAAACTTCCTGCGACGCCTCATAGCAAAACAGCCCCAAATTTGGGGAATTTTGTGGCAAAATTCAGATTTAGGATTTATTCCCTCCTCCCCAACTGGGTCTCCTCAAAACCTCCAAATTTTCGGCACAAGAACCCAGCCAATTTCATGCTAACGTCAATCACATTTTTATGACGGCGCGGYGATTTACAGCGGTTTCGTCTGGTTCGGCAGCCGCGCTCCTCGTTCCTTCCAACRCTTCCCGACAAAATGATAAAGCTTTGGAAATAAATAGACGGCCTCATTTGCATCCAAATGGCGGGATCCAGGAGTCCACGRATCGTGGGCACGCAGCTGTTTGCTTTTAAAGCCGCAATTTTGTGCGGCAATTTCATGCAGATTCCCCTGCTTTTCGTTACAGGCGTTTAACTTCCAGCAGGTAAATTCATCGCGGCCTCTGGAACGCGTTTCTCTTGATTAAAATACAGATATCGGATAATTACTCCTGGTGTGGCGGCGGCGCCGAGAGCGGGAGGTGCACACCACCAGGAATTTGCTTCCACAGGGGGAAAAAAAAAATTGTGATAGCCCTCGGAATGTGAGGACAGAAAAATAATTGCTGTGGGTTTTATCCCAGCAGGAGAGAGGAGATTCCTGGTCTGGGGGTTACTCGGAGCGCTGTTGGGAAGGATGATTTTATTGAGAGACGAGAAAAAGGGAAAAACAAGGAAAGTRATGGCTGCTTTTCCAAAGGATTTRTTAAAAACACTCAACCTCCAAARGGCCATCCTCTCAGMCAGGAATTSCTTCCCAATATCCCACCYAAATCCACCATTTTCCAGTTTAACGCCATTCCCTGGCTCCTGKCCCTCCATCCCTTTTCCCCASTCCCTCYCCAGYTAATCCCTTCCAATCAGGCACTGAACCAGGCAAGGGATGGATTTTTGACAGGAATATCAGGAAAGCTCCCAGAAATTCCAGTTGGGAATGGAACTGCAGCAAAGCCTCTGCCAAAGCATTTCATAATGGTCAATTAATGGAAAATTCGCACTGCAGAACCCGATGGAAATTTTTATTTTTCCAACGGCAATGCTGGAAAGATCCCGGCAGCTGCAGCAAAGCCAAAGCAGTAGCACGAGCAGGAGAGCAAAGAACGGTCCCAATTTTGGGAGATTTCCCTGAATATTCCAGCGGCTGCCCCGCTGCTGGAAAGAGCCACACAAAAGTGTGACGGGGTGGTTATATAAGGCTGGGCTTTGGGCAGGCCGTGTGAGAGCTGGAAAATAGAAAAAGCAGGAAAAATACAGGTTTTGGATGAGGCATTCTGCAGGGATGTTGCAGAGGAGGATGAAACTCCAAAAAATTAAAAAAAAATTCCCTGCTTTTAGCCAGGCTGTTTAAAGCCACCTGATCCYGGTGCTCATGGAAGCTCTCCAGAATTCCAGCCTCAGTTCTGTTGGAATTGGTACTAACTGATATTCCCATTTCTAACTGAATTCTGATTTAATCCAATTTTAAACCCCCCTTGCTTGAAGCTCTGAGCAGGTGGATGACTGGGGGTGGTTGTGGGACCATGGGAATTTTCAGGGCTTTGGAAAGCTGGAAGGGGAGGGAAGGGCTTGGAATGGTCACCATGGTCCCAGCTCCACGTGAGCTGTTTTCCCCTCTCAGCTCTTCCAGAGAGAGATTTATTCCGCACCTGCAGAGCTGCGTGTGCAGGACGGAGCCGGCACTGGGAACCAGGAGGGTTCGGAGACTCTGGAAGGAAGGAAATGCTCCCTCCGTGTTTCCCACGGCCGCGTCCGCGACCCTGGGAGATCCCATGGATTCCCTTCCATCAATTCCCTCCCATCATTCCCAATGCCGATCCTTTCCCATCAATTCCCTCTCATCAATCCCTTCCCACTGATTCCCTCCCATCATTCCCGATGCCGATCCTTTCCCATCAATTCCCTCTCATTGATTCCTTCCCTTTGACTCCCTCCCATCATTCCTGATGCCATCGATTCCCTCCCATCATTCCCGATGCCATCGATTCCCTCCCATCATTCCCAATGCCATCGATTCCCACCCGTCATTCCCAATGCCATTGATTCCCTCCCATCATTCCCGATGCCGATCCCTTCCTATCGATTCCCTCCCATCATTCCCAATGCCGATCCCTTCCCATCAATTCCCTCCCATCATTCCCGATGCCAATCCCTTCCCATTGATTCCCTCCCATCATTCCCGATGCCAATCCCTTCCCATCAATTCCCTCCCATCATTCCCGATGCCAATCCCTTCCCATCAATTCCCTCCCATCATTCCCGATGCCAATCCCTTCCCATCGATTCCCTCCCATCATTCCTGATGCCGTTCCGGGCAGATCAAAGCTGTGCCAGGAGGTTGTTAACGCTCCAACAGGAAGGACAAAGCAACAATCCCCATGCAGCTCCAGCCTGGGATGATTTCCCGAGRGTGCAGAAGAAAATCCCAAAAGGAAAATTAATAGGAACTCTCAGCAATGGGATTTTATGACAAAAGGGTTCTCCTTCCTCTTTTAATGAGGGGATGAATAGACCTGATGGAAACCTGGTCCTACAAAYGCATCCTGGTGATATCAGAGGGGCACCAAGAGGGTTTTCCTTCTCCAAGGAGTTTTYCCTCTCCAAGGACACCAAACGGGGACAATTCCCATAATTTCTCCTGGATCAGCACTGGAATCCCCAGTGAGCAGAACAGATTTTGCACAGGCAGCAGTAACAGAGAAAATGGCGACATCCACCATGATGCCCAACTTCCATAGGGGTGGGGCAGCCATGAGCAGAGCGATTAGGAATTTTGTGGGGTGACAGGCTGGAAATGGCCTGGGCTGGTGTGGGAAGGGGGAAAAGCCCCACTGAGGTGAGACCCCWCCTGCAGAGCTGCCCCAGCCCTGGGATGCCCAAAATCAGAGCGATGTGGAACTGCTGGAGAGATCCTGAGGAATCCAAGGAGCTGCTCCTGGAGCCAGACTGGAAGAGCTGGGAATGTTCCCCTGGAGAAGGGAAAAGGCTCCAGGGAGAGCTCAGAGCCTCTTTTGGGGCCTGAAGGGGCTCCAGGAGAGCTGGAGAGGGACTGGGGACAAGGGATGGAGGGACAGGACACAGGGAATGGGGTCACACTGGAAAATGGGGAGATTGGGGTGGGATTTTGGGAATTGGGAATTGCTGGGATGGAATTGCACCCCTGGATCCCTTTGAGTGCCCAAGGCCAGGCTGGACACCCTGGAACAGTGGGAGGTGTCCCTGTTGGAATGGGATGGGATTTAGGATACTTCCATCCCAAACCATTCCATGACCCCATAACTCTGTGGGATGGATGCAGATGGAAAAGGATCCGGGGATTTTCCCAATCCGTGGATTTTCCCAATCACCAAGAGCTGGACACTCACACAGAACAAGACTCCAAATGGAGCTCCCCAGCACCAACCTGCCCCTGAAACACCGGAAAAATCCTGGAATTGTGGGAATTCCTGAGATCACTGCGCAGGAAGGATTTAATTCACTTCTACGCACAGGATTGGTGCCCTCAGTACAAGATCCTAACCTGGTGTTTTAAAGCAATATTGAATAATYACAGGGCAAAGAAAAATAACTTACAAAGAAATAGGAGCAATTAAAGGGCAAAGAAAAATAATGAATTAAAGGGAAAAGAAAAATTATTAATTAAAAGAGCAAAGAAAAAGGAGTAATTAAGGGGAAAAGAAAAATAATGAATTAAAGGGGAAAGAAAAATAACTAATTAAAAGGGTAAAGAAAAAGGAAAAAAAGGAATAATTTAAAGGTAAAGAGAAATAATTAAATAAAGGGGAAAGGAAAATAATTAATTAAAAGGGTAAAGAAAAAGGAGTAATTAAAGTGGCAAAGAGAAATAATTTAATAAAAGGAAAAGAGAAATAATTAAAATGGCAAAGAGAAAGGAGCAATTAAGGRGAAAAGAAAAATAATTAAATAAAAAGCCAAGAAAAGACCAACAGGATTTTTTCCACGCTGGAAAAATAACTCAGCACCTGAGTATGGACAAAATGTAAGGAGAACAAATTTAGTGTCTCCGAAAAAGGAAAGTGAATGATCGAAATTGTTTTCTATAAATTATTCCAGGCTGCAAGCACCTCCTGAGGGAAAGCAGCACAAGAGAGCTCCTGTGGCTCCAGGGAATAGAAATATATGGAATAAAGAAAGCTGGGAATGGAGGGAAACCCCATTCAAGTTGGGGGGAAGAACTGGATTGATTTTATTTGAAAGTGAAGAAGCGAAGCAGAGGGAGTTGGGCACAGAGAGGATTCCTCAAAGCTCCACCATCAGATGGATTTTAGTGAAATATAAGTTGTTAAATTGATTTTTAAAACAGCAGCAAAGGGAAAAGAAAAAAAAAAATCAACCCTGAAAAGCAGCRGAGCCGTGAGATAAAAGGGGTCAAACAAAAGCGAGGTCGTGGTCAACTCCAAGATGAAATTCTGGGGGAAAAAACGCAATCAGAGTTGATGAAAAAATCCCAGATCATTATCATTAAATCAAGGACACTCGAATCAAGACACGGAGTAATTGAGAGCAGCTTTGCATTTTTCTTGTTCCAGAGTTCACTCTGGATCCCCACCGTGCTGGAAAACCTGGATGGACCCGGAGCAGCACCCAAAAAAATGGAATAAACAGGATTTAAAACCGCTCTGACACCACGGGGACTGGGATTTTTTAACAGCAATTTTGGGTTATTAATTCCCCCTGTACCTGCGTGATTTTTCCATAAAAAAGCAGGGAAAAGGGATTTCCCAAGCCAGGAAAAAAAGGCACCGACGCCAAAGGCCACCTGATGTTCTCGACATGGAATAATTGTTACAAATTGGGAGTATTAACATTTTAAATCAGTAATTATCGGTTTGGTAACCCCAAACCTAATTAATGCTCGCTCCTCTGCGTCCTAAAGAAC